CAGTAGTTTGTTTGGTTTTAATTGCTTCGTTGAAGGAACTATAAATACAACATTGTGTTTTCACAATATTTGTGGAATAACTCTTAAGATTGTTGAGGAAAATTAGGTTTGTTAATCTGGAAGGCAAACTAATACGTAGAGAACAGGCTAGAGCAGTTCAACTCTTGCAAGATTTTGTTCCAATTTTTCGGATCTGCAAACAGAAGTTTTTGTTGCTGATGTTTATGTGGTCATGGTGTCTTTGCAACATCTGTAATCCTCTGTTTCATATTTTAATTTTTCTCTCTTTTCCAGGCAAATCAGTTGTGTTTTTGTTCCAATGGTGTTTTTCATAATGCAGGTTTCAGCTATATATATGGCAAATCAGTTGTTGATGTTGATTAACTTTTTTACCTAAAATAATAATCATGATACATGTAGTTAAGCAAATCACTATTTCTGGAAGTTGTTGATTTATTTTCCTTTTTCCCGTTTCTACAGTTCAGGTCCTCTGTTATTTGATAGCATGTCATTTTTACTTATGCTGTTGCAAGAATCAGGTAAAGGAGTCTTCAGTTATAAGCTGTTTACCATCATTTGCAAGGTTGAAGGCAATTTTGAACATTTATTGCTAAGTTTATCTTGGTGTTATATTGACCAGGCAGAGTCGAGATTGAAGAAGAAACTCATGCATGTGATGTGCGTGTGATCTAGAGCTTATTGTTTTGGACCATATGGTAAGCTACTATCCCTTTAGTTTGTTTTCGACACTCATTAATAAATAGAGTTATATTCTTATTTATGAGATAACCTACACACAGCCATGTCTCTTCAGGATTTGATGATACTGTTTTGCAGATTTGGAGCTAGCATCCATTTGAAGTGTAAACAGTCCTTAGAAGTTGTATATAACAATTTGATGAACTGGAGGATCTACTCGAGTGATGAAGGAACCCTGCAGCAGTCGATGAACTATCTATTTGTGTGTGTGAGAATCTGAAGTATCTACCTGCAGTGGAAGCTCTGAAATTGTCCACAAAACGAAAAGATGCACTGTGGAGAGCTGCCCTAGTGGCAAAGGTTTTCTCATATTTCCAAGACTCTCCTTTCCTGTTTCAGGTTTTAATAATCCTCTCCTTTCCAAGCAAGGACGATAGTGCAAACAGTACTAATCCTTTGGCTTGGGTGACTTCAACAAATATGAATGAGAATCAAATGGAATGTTGCTCTTCTTCACTCTCCCTGCGGGTGTCTGTCTTCATAGTGCTAAAAAGTAAGGGACAACAGATTCATTTTTAGTTGGATATTGTATCAGGAATCCACAGAAGTCTATTTTGGTGGAAGGTTGTTCTGCGCAGTTCTTGCTAACTTGTTCTAGGTTTAATATTTGACCAGGCAGAGTCAGCATTCAAGAAGAAATTCATGAATGCGCTATGAGTGCCACTGCCATGCATGTTTTTGTCTCATGAAATTTTAATTTGCACAAATTGGTAAGCTCTAATCCCTTTCATTACACCGAATATTTTCTTGTCATCACTATACTGGAGTTGTATTCTTATGAGTTTGCATCACAGGGAAACTTCGTATGGTGCAGCATAATCGGAAAACACTTTACCGGGCATTTATCATGGAGAAAGCTCTTCCTAATGAAGTCCTAAGACCTGTCTCTTACTGGGCGATATTTGGTGTATTGATCTTTCTTTGTTGAACTTTGTTTGTTCTTGGATTTTTGGGGCATTTTCTACACCCTTGTCTTCAATGAATTGTTTGACTTGACTTTTATCACAATTATTAGAAATAAATATTATTTTAAATGAATTGTTAACTTCTGCAGATTTTCTCTCATGCGGCTTATCAAAATCCAAAAAACCCGAGGAGCCTAATTTGAAAAGCCAAAATGTTTAAAATCAACCCATGAACTGCCACAAGTGAACTCAGCTAAAATTTAGAGCAACCTATGCAAAACACAAGGGTAAACATATGACGTATCTCACATTTTAATGGAAGTGCAATTTCGGGGTGTCTATTGAGAAACAACGGAAGAGAAATACATGTACAGAGAGACATCGGATATTAATCATTGTGCTATGAGCATCATAATGGACAAACATTGGATATTAATCATACTAACAACAATAGCCCATTGTGAAAATGGGAGAATGCATGAGGTATACTATGTGATACTACTTCTCACTATACAAGACAATACATAAACCACAACTCACATTCCAGCAGCAGATTTAGAGACCTGCTTCAGAGCATTGGCAATCTCATCAGCTTTTGCTTGCCCACTTACATAGGTGACCAAGGGGTTCTCTGGTGGAACAATGCCATCTCTTAGATAGCTTCTTGATGTTCTTAGCAGCTCTTTTGAACCCTTTGCCACCACCCCTTTCATGATTATGGTCTTAGCAGCTGTTTCCTTTTTGATTCCAAAGAATTATTTTATTTTATTTTTGGGTCAAAGGTTCCAAAGAATAATGTTTTTCACTTTGGTATCAATCAATTGGCAGTGAGTTGAATCACTCATCAGCTTTTTCTTGCCCACTTACATAGGTGACCAAGGTGTTCTCTGGTGGAACAATTCCATCTCTTAGATAGCTTCTTGATGTTCTTAGCAGCTCTTTTGAACCCTTTGCCACCACCCCTTTCATGATTATGGTCTTAGCAGCTGTTTCCTTTTTGATTCCAAAGAATTATTTTATTTTATTTTTGGGTCAAAGGTTCCAAAGAATAATGTTTTTCACTTTGGTATCAATCAATTGGCAGTGAGTTGAATCAATTTTGTTAAGCAGGTTCAAACTTTGGTAATTGATTCTTAGCTGACTAATGATGCTTCCTTTTCTGATGTTACACCAATGTTACACCAAAACTGCCGAGACCCTCTTCTTCCTCTCATCCATTAACGGTAAATGGAAGAACAGTGGAACCTTACCAAACTTCCACCCCGCATGTTTTAGATAGGCTGGGAGCCGCAAATAATGTTAAGGCGGACAATAAGAACCACAAGAAAGGGCATTATTGAAGCTCCGTCATTTGCTGAGAAGCTCATTCTAATTGAGCATTTAAGAGAGAACTAGCCACAATTTTGATATCTAACATAGAACTCTTATTTACAAGAAATGTACGACAAAAGGAAAGTGAAAGTAGTTGCATTCATTCGCTGGCCTCCCGAAATTGTTTACCGCTCAGTGTTCACAAATTTGCTGTCGTTTAATTTCCAAGTCTGGCACGCTTTGCGTATGATACTCAGCTTTTTTTCTTCTTTCAATCCTTAAGACAAGTGCTTATTATATTTATTTTCCTTTGTTTTCATTTTTGGATTATTAGTAGTTCAATAATAATTGACTTTCCATGTTATCTAACATTCCATAGTGGTCAGAGGCGAATCTAGGATTCTCGGGCCAAGAGGTCACAGTGCAAAAGCTTCGAATTTTTTTAAGAAGAAAATAACACTAGAAAAACAGAAAAATAACCCTAAACATGTTTGCTGTTATTGACCTGCCTACATTCCTCTTCCCATTCCCTGCCACTTAAACTTTTGTTACTTTTAATATTATATTTTTATGTTGTTTTCAAAGCCCCACACACTAAATGAATCAACTGCTGTATATTAATAGGTCATTTGCTCAATGTGAAAAGTTATTATCAGCACATCAAAAAGGTGAAATAAGCTTAAAATTTTGTTGAGAATGTGTTACCAACCTTCGAACCCAAGACCACTAGGAGTTAGTGCAAGCGCACTTAACCACAAGGGCAGGTTAAAATTTTGAAAAGTGTTCTTTTTAAATATGTGTGTCCCTTGAATGATTAGCATTTCCAATTATTTTAAAAGATTAAGAGCATATTACTAAGTGGGTCACTTTGACTTCCAAAGGCAACGTAGAATTTGACCACAATTTCAGAAAACACTACAATAAATAAGCCTATTAGAAACACTAGGACCACTCCAGTTTGTCTACTACGATTCTTTATTTGTATAAATTTTGTAGAATTCTAGTGTTTCTACAGTTGCCCTTTTTGGCTGATATGCAATAACATGTATGCATGACTTGTAAATTATACCAGGATGGGGTTGACTTACTAGAAAGTTATCGTGTTTTTTCTTACAGAATCTGAAGGGTAATTTTTTTTTTCTTTCCATGTTTGGTACTACTAGAATGGTAGTTAGAAAATATTATTTCTTTTTTCATATTCAGTTTGTGCATGAATTAGAAACAAAATTTGTTTTGTTTTTCATTTATAACCCCACATTAGAAATATGAAAAAAATATATATATATAATTACTGTTGCTTACCTTAATTGGTAATTTAAAGAAGATGTAATTAATTCTTACCTTTGATTTTGGGAAAGAAAAATGAAACCCAGGCTGGATGGAACATTTCCCCTATTTTTTCAGAATGCATGAAACCTTCTCCCGAGCGAGGACTTACTAAATATGAAAAAGAAAATGATTTTTCATCCAAGTTCCTTTTATGGCAAACCAAATGCCACGTAAGATATACCAAACGTGTATAATTAAAATGGTAACAAAGTCTGCTTTCCATATGGGTGGGCCCTATTGCAAAGGTTTCCTCTCTTGGTTTATTATTTTACTTTTAGCTTATAATCACTTGTCTACTTTGGCTTAGTACCCGTTTGGCATTGCTTATTTGGAGTGATAAGTGATTTTAAAAAAAATTTGAGAACCCCAGCCCGTTTGGTAACCTATAATAAAATCACTTATTATTAAAAATTGCTGTGGGAGAAAGCAATAAAGGAAAGCAGCTAATGAGCTGCTTTCAATTTCTGATTATGTGGTAATCAGATTTGAGAAGGCGCTGGTTTTAATGAAAATTACAAAATACCGAAAATACCCCAATATGAGTTCACGCTCTCCTCTTTGTGCGTCTTCTCCTTCCCAAGCCACAGAGCACTCTTCTCCTTCTCTTCCATTCTTCCTCCATTTTTTTTCTTGTTGGATCAATTGAAGTGC